TATATATATATATAACTAAAAAGGGATAACAAGTTCATGTCTCCACATTTTTTACTTACTCTACCCCTCATCTATTAACGCATCTGCTTATTCTCCCATTCTCCCAATAATCTATTTTTTCTCATTTGCTGCCCATTTTTAACTAAAGGAGCATTTGATCCAAGAAACTTTTTACTTTCTCAAGAATCTAAAAGTGGAAATGTTAGTTTCTAATGTTTGGTTTGTTATTTAAAAATAACCTTCCTAGAAAACATTATTTCCCAAAAATGTTTTTTTACAACAGTATTTCAGAATTGTTTCTATTGGGGAGGTGGAAATCTAACATTCCCAATTTCAAAGAAAAAAGACTTATTACTTTAAAAATATCATGTTATCTTTATTTATTTATTGCAGCTTATTTAATGCAAAAATCATATTTGATTCCAAGATAACATTTATAAATATTTCTAAAAACAAAACATTTGTGACCAACCAAACAAATTTTAATCATTCTTGAAAATCATGATTTTCAAGATTTATAATTCTCATGAATCATGATTCCCGGACACGAAAAATTATTTTTGTACCAAACATCCCCTAAGGGTTATCTAACACTAACACCTTTATTGAACATTTATAATCCAGTATAATAAATTTAGATGAAAATTTTGTTAATAAATTAGTTTAAAAAGTCATATATAAATAAAATAATTATAAAAAAAATAGAAATGGTATGTATTAAGCAAAAAAGAAGAATTTAATTAACACAAATCAATGTATGATAAAATAAAAATAATAAATTATATTTATGTCTAATCTAAAAAATTAAAAAATGCAAACAGACAAGAAGAACCTTGGGGCTTGTCTTTCTGCTAGTGTGAGTGTATTTCTAATATCTATTACGCTGTAAATGTTGAAAAATAGTGGCAATTAGCAAGTACCTCAGGGCTTCCACTTTCAAGAAGAACTCCTTTCAGCTTACCTGTGCAGCATCAAGTAATTAAATTCTAAGTAACAGCAATTCAAAGATCAAACAGGCACACGTATGCATTCAAATATAAACATTACTGCATGCATGCATATACAAGCACCGCCCCATAAGCTTGCAGATAGCCCACAAAAGGAGGGGAATATTACCGGATTCAATCCAAAAGTTAGCTATTTTAGGATCAAAATTTCCAATTTCAACTGTTTCCCCAACTGTCAAAAGAAAAATAAATGATAAGAGCGACAGGAGAGAAATTTAAAATTAAAAGGAAATAAAAGGTGAGGCAATGACATTTATCTTTAACTATATTTACCATTGTCTCCAAAGAATTGCCACCATACTTTTCTAGGGCTCCCTTCATATTCAAAAACCCTCGAGTAGAAATGTGGAAGATAGTCATACCTGAAAATCATTAAATAAATTCAGCTAAATCAGCAGGGCAGAAAAAAATGAACTCCAAAGATTAATTGCGGGAACATATAATCCAACATACGTGTGAGTTTGCGCACTGAGTAATGCTTTCACACAGTGCTGTGCAGAGCGTCGGGCATGATCTACATGTTCCACTCGAGCAACACGGTCATAGATCTGTCCAATTTTCCATAAACACAAATGTCAGATAAAAATGAAAAGGTATTCCTGAACTGATCCAATCCAATGCAAATCACAAAAGCTGAAGTAAAAAGCCTTAAATAAAATAACAAAAAACCAAACAAAGTGAAATAATTGAAATTTTTAATTGAACTGGATTGGAATTCGTGTGATTTTCTTCAGAACCCATCCAATCCCAAGTCAAGCCAAACTTGTATGTATATATGTAATTTTATTTATGATATTATACTAATCTTGTTTGTATAAATAGATGTTTATGAAAGGCTTAATTATATTTTTAGTTCTCTAAATTTAGGGTAATTATTTTTGTCGTTCCCCAAATTTAAAATTTTTGTTTTTAGTTCCTATAATTTAAAAAAAAATTGTTGGTTCCTAATATATTCTTTTGGTTCCCCAAACTTAAAACATGTGTTTTTAGTCCTCTAAATATAAAAATTATTATTTTAGTCCCTCAAATTTAAAATTTGTCATTTTAATTTCAAAAATATTATTTTAGATATTGTATTCAAATTGATCAAAACCGAACCATAATTTACTTTTATGATCAGATCAAGTGACTTCTTTTTGCCTAAAAATCTATCTAAACTGAACCGCGAATGCTCCTAGAATGAAGTAAAAAAACTCAACTCAAAAGCAAAGTTAATCCTGTACCTTTAAAGGGAAAGCTGCTACATCACCAACAGCAAAGATTCCAGGAGTGCTAGTCCGAAACAGACCATCAACCTGAAATACAAGTTACTGATGCATTTAGACAAAGTTCTTCAACCTATTATTTTGGCCTCCCTCCAAAATTTCATCAGCAAATGTGGGTATCTCTAACAGAACATGGTCTCCCAAAATTGATGATTAACACGTTCAAACACTATGCTTCACCAAAAAGGGAAGAGACAGATGGCCATGTGGGAAAGAGGGTTCATAACATACTAGAGATATTAAAAATACTCATGCAATTCATAATCTTTTTTAATTTTTGTCAAATTTTATTCATTGGCCTCACCTGTATACCACCAACATCTGTATTCAGCCCCACCCTCTCAAAGGGACTCACAGCAGGTTTTGCTCCAATGCCTATAATAACCTGAGAACCAGAATAAAAAAGTAATTTTAATTCCTCTATGCTTTCTCCCTCTAGCCTAACATAGATCTAAAACCTCTATGCTTTCTCTAGCAACTCATGTATTACTAAAGTAAATTTAAACAAGAAATGACCTGCAGATATCAGAGTAAATAAAAGTATAATTACCGTATCTGCCTCCACAATGGATCCATCTCCAAGTTTCACACCAGCTACATGTCCGTTAGAACCAGCTTCCAAATTTTTTATGGAAGCACCCTGGTGAATTTAATATTTAAGATTTAAAAGAAATAGAGAAGGGAAGGGGGAGTTTAGAGAATAGAATAGTTGCACACGAGCACAATACCAAACAAACCAATTGCTACTAGTACTTACTAGTTACAATAAAGGAAAGAAAGAGAGAACAGAGGAGGAAATACCTTCAAGATTTTGACTCCATTCTTTTGATAGAGTTCTTCATATCTCCGGGCAAGAGAAGGAGTAAACAGTCTTTGCAAAAGGTGATCTTCTGGAAATATGATCTACTTTTTATGGTAATACATATTTGTGAGTCAGTAGGTCAAAAACTTCACAAAAGGAAAATTGATCTTAAAAGCTAAGGATATATGGTTAATGACAACATATGCCTGGATTCTCAAGATATCCATGCTTGTCTTAACTCCTATGGATCCTATGTCACACTTGCCTATCAAGATTTGAACCATAAAATAGCGAAAATGAGGCTGAAAGCATGATAATAATCAGGCCCCTAGGTAGAGCAATGTGAACAGGCATAAACGGCACAGGAAGTAACTGTCATGCCATGCCCTGATATAATGTAGGAAATTTAAAAAAACAAGTTACTAGGAAGACCTAAATATCTCATAAAGTCGTAATTATTATTATTATTATTCACAATTCAGCACATAAAATAAAGTTTACTTAATGCAAGACTTTTTAAAACTTTATGCAGAGGACAAAATGAAGAACTTCTGCTGGCATAGATGAACACTTTAACAGGTAATAATGGATGTTGGACCAAGAACTTTGCATTTTGAACCAGAAACTAGATAATGAAATAGGATGCAGGAAAAACACATACTGTTGTATCAAGTTTCCAACCAACAGCAGCAGCAGCAACCTCCATTCCTATATAACCACCTCCGACAACTACAACCTTTTTTGCTTTTTCCTGGAAGTCAAAAAACAAAAGATACAAATCATAATGAGCAACAAAATGCATGTCCGATTTTTTTTTTTTTTTTTTTTCCTGTATTGACTATTGAATATGTTTTCTGAAAGTAACCTTGGTGAAAAATATGCAAAAAATTGCAACTTAACTCAAGTTGCATGAAAGAATGCTTGAGAAAGATCGTGAAACAATAATATATTCAAAGGGAAAACAATGTAGATTACATATTGAAAAAAGTATAATTTGAAACACATATATCAAATGATAGTAAGCACTGCAAGAGATCATCTACCTCAGGTAAAATTAAATCAAATCATTGAAACGTCAACAAGTCATGTTAAGAGGGTATAATGAATTACCAATGATAGAATCAGTGCATCAGCATCTGCAACTTCCCGGATATAGTGAACACCAGGTAGGTTTCCCCCAATTTTCTCTGGAAACCTAACAGCAAGATAGTGAATAACTCAGACTTTCTGTACCACTTTTTATGGAAACAAAAGAAGTGAACTAAAGTAAATAAACTGATACCTTGATGCTGTGCATCCTGTAGCAATAATAAGAGAACCATATTTCAGAAGTTTTCCAGAACTTGTCGTCAAAGTTTGCTTCTCAATATCAATATCTTTTACTGGATCTTCATACAACATCTGGACAGGCAAAACCAACAGCATAAAACTCAGCATCTCACTAACTTTAATAAATGAAAACAAGTACGAGAATTGTTTCCTGCCTTACACAGCTATATTAAATGAAGTTTCTACCATTCTATTTCAAGCAATCCTATCTCCATTGTATAACATGCACACTAAAACAGTGTCAGCAAATGAGCAAAATAATGTCGAAAACTTTCCCACTCTTTGTTTTTCAAACCCCTTCCCTGATCAAATCAAATGCAAAAAAATCCAACAGCATAAAATAGATTACCTCTATCCCATTCTCCTTATACCACTCTGGAGTCTGCCTCTCTCCACCGGATCCAACACAAGTGTGAAAACCCTAAAGAATGCAAATAACAAACAAGATAGCACAATGTGAAGCCAAGGACAATACAAAATGGCAACAACAACAACATATTTAATTGCAGAATATCTGAGTAATCGAGGAAAAAATTCTTACAGGAAGGCGCGCTGGTTTCTTATCTGGCGGGAACAAATACGCTTTCGTCAGAGCAGGACGCTCGTAAGGTGCGTATGGCTGATTCATCAAATTCAATTGAAAATCATAAATAACAAGAAAAATAGATCAAGTTCGATGTGTGAGCAATTTCAAGCTAGAAAAATAGAGCACCTCTTTGGTCACAATACAGAGGCGACCATCGGCCATGCCGTGCTCGACGAAAGTGCGTGCAGCATATCCCGCGGAATTTCCTCCGCCAACAATCACGTACCTGCGGAAACAGACAACGGAGATTCAAAATCGCGTAATAAATAAAAGTGAAACAGAGAGAAGAAGCGTTAATTACTCGCGATTCTCGTTGGCGAAGGCGGCGTAGCATCTTGTGAATTTGACGGAAGCGGAAGAAGGAGGAGTTCGAGTGAGAAAAGGAGTTCGCGGACGCGCGAGAGAGAAACCTTGCTTCAGCGACAAGGAGTTGGATATCGCTGTCATTGTGAGTCTGCGAACTGTTGCGCGCAATCAGAAAAGAGAAATCGGTTATGGAAAGTGATACTGCAATCAAATGCTCTTACACTAGAGTTTCAGTACCTGAAGGAGACGGCATGGGAGCGTGCCTTTATATGTGAAATTTATTATAATAATGTTTTGATTTAATTATTGAAGGGGAAGTGTTAAGGTGGCTCTAGAAGAGGTCGAAGGGGCATGACGTATTGAAGCCCTCCTGAGTTTTAGAAATGCGATTCGAGATCGTCTTTTCTAGTGTGCTGCGTTTTCTCCATTGGAGGTCATTTCGCCCCCGTTACCTTCTCCTACCCAACGTGTCCTTCTTTTTCTCAACAGCGAAGAACGACGTCGTTGAGGACTCGGGTACAACCGGCCCTACCCGACCCAACCCAATTGCGGCTTGGGTTGAATCTATTTATTAAGATCAATACAGTCCAAGCTATTCTTCTTCTTCCACACCATCTCTTTCACTATATGTACCGTATTTCGATATGTATGATAAATAATTTTTGGCAAATAATATTAAAATAGAGAATCGAAATGTGGAAGGCCAAGTGCGTGATTCAAAATCCTTTACCGTAAGTTGTTCAATGCTTTTCATTTCTCACTGTACTATTGCGATATATAGAGTAAATTCACTGATATATTTTTGTGTTTTTGTTATCAGTAATATTCATTTATTAGTATACCTCTCATAATATTTTTTTTATTTTTCAATACAGTAATGTAATTCTTTTATTTTAATTAAATTAATTTATAATTTTCAATTTAATTTATTATTTAATATGCTATATATAATTATAAGAAAAAGTTATTCATGACTAGTTGGACTATAATTTGACTGCAGTTAAATTAATAAACTGTGAATTGATAATTTTAACAGTTTAACGATGTGTGGTGTAAAAAAAGGGTTAATGATGTGTTCAATTTAAAAACATTGAAAGCTATATTATGTTAAATATGGTGATTCTATGTCACCAATTAAAAAAAATACGGAGAAAATAGACTAAATTGAAATGGTTTCGGTCATATATTTTTTTTAATACATTTTAGTTTCTTATTTTTTATATTTAGATTGATTTAATATTTTTTAAAATAGTCATTTTGATATTTTTAATTTTGTGATATAATTTTAAATTAATTTTTAATCAACTGTTGGGGTAAAACTTATAATATTGCATCTCTCTATATAAAAATTATAAATTTTAATTAACATTTAAATGCAAAAAAAAAACTATAAACACAACAAAAATTATGGAAAAAAATATATCTCATAAATAATTAAAAAATAATGTGATTAGATTTTTAAAATTTTTCTATTAAAATTTTTAACTTATTCACTCAACAACTTTCACTCCTTCCCAATTGACACAATTGAAGAGATAAGACATTTATTAGTTTTCAAACACTCTCGTTATTAGTGTTTCGACATAAACTTCCGTTTAATTAAAAACCTCCCTTAAATGAAAGTTTTAATTGGGGAGGGAAAAATGTCGGGCTTTCCAAATGACACGATTCAAATAAATTCTACAAAAAAAAATAAAAAACATAACAATATTTAAGAAACAACAAGACAAAATTCCAGCATAAAATTTTCACCACCAATAATCAGAATACAAATCAAAATTCTATCATCATAATTAAACCAAGAACACTAAATATAATACCAACGTCAAAATTCAACTACCAACAATATCAAAATCAATTAAGAATCAAATTACAACATCATAATAATATAAAATTTCAAATAAAAGTAATATTGAAATTGTACTATCCGTATTGCGTAACCGAGCTCCGAGCTCGGCACCATAACGCAAGCCGACCTCGGACACGCATCGCGTGACATCAGCTCGGTACTTAAGCGAATCATAACTGATCCCCGAGGATCTCGCCTCAGACGAGGTCCGTTATCTAATCATATTACACCTCATCTCAGGCCCAAGGCCTAAAGCAACCCTAATTCACACCTAGGTACGTACATTACTTATACGAGACTAATACTCACACAAACACTAACTTGAGCATCGGAGTCTCTTTTGCAGGTACCACCCCCATCTTGGAACACCAGCGTACCCGTGAAGGAGGCTCACCGATCTTACCTGGCGAATCACCTCTACGGCAGATTTCCGGTAAGAACATTTGGCGCCCACCGTGGGGCCGATCAAGACAGCTCTTATCGGCCACCTGTATGGTTTTCACCAGAAGCCATAGTAGACGC